GGCTTCCAATACCATACTAGTACTTGGTATCGATGCACCAAGCTGTAACTTCAAAGGAAAACAGTTTTGTTTACGCGCATACACTATTTATGGCATGACAGTTCTGATGTTACGTGTTAATCGAAACCCGGCAAGTGAATAGAATTTATCTTTTTTTTTATCAAAAGTCAACTGCTAGACATAACGTGTCTCTGCCCATAGAGGGAGGATTTGCCGTAATCGTCGTGCTTGATAGCAGTGAAGAGTATACTTTTTTTTTTTATAAATTGAATATTGAATTCGTTTAAGTATATTGTTCGAAATGTGTCGTAGGTTTCAACGTACGACAACTTTCGATCAAAATACATTTATTTCTTAAAAAAAAATCCATGAGAACACGACGAATATCTATATTCTTTGCATGCAGCACAATGAAATTGAGTTTTTAAGGTTCCGTGCCACGCGTTGGTTTGTTCATAGGCGGTGGTAGTCACTTACAATCAGGTGAGCCGCATGCTCGTTTGCCCCCTGTCCTATAAAAAAAAATGATAATAAAGGAAACACTTAATATAATCACTTTGTTATCCGTCCAGCCAAGTTGTCCGGCCGTTGGTCAAGACCATTGTTTACAGAAACTGTTAGAATATCTAGTTGAAATTATATTTATGATCGTAGTTGCTTAATGGTGTAAAAAATTATGTTTCTAATTCAACGCAATCAAACAAGTGGTAAAATAAAAAAAAATGTACAACCGACTTCAATATAAACTATTAAGGATAACTCAAAAACTACTGGCCAGACCTTGGTAGGCAAACGAGGCCGTGGACTAGATGTTGATAGGAATTCTATCATGTATGTACACTCTTAATGTTTTAAAATTGTAAAATTGTATGTTTTTGTTATTGTTTTTTTTTTTTAGTTTATTCTACATTATAGTTCAGCATGTGGTAAATATAAAAATTTTGTACAAACGACTTTAATATAAATAAAATGAGAACATTTTTTTCAATGCAAAGTTTACTTTGTCCTTTAATCTGTTTTATTATCGTTAGAACAATGTTGAGTACTTACATATAATTTCTGGGATACCTATTTAACTTTACCTAAATACGGAATCCTCAGAGCGTGAGTAACACTACTCGAATTTATTTACATTAACATCAATAAACTCGACGGCTTTGCTGCTTTATAAAAAGTCGAGAAAAACAGCTTAGTAGTATAGCAAAGCCCGTCAAAACTGATGCAAATATTTACCGTTATAACCTATCAAAAGGGGGTCGTATAGGGGAGAATATTTGCCATAGTCGCCACGCTAAGCTGCCCGGTTGACAACCGCAGTTTTTTAGGGTTCCGTACCTCAAAAGGAAAAAACGGAACCCTTATAGGATCACTTTGTTGTCCGTTTGTCTGTCTGTCTGTCAAGACCCTTTTTCTCAGGAACGCGTGGAGGTATCAAGCTGAAATTCATATCAAATACTCAAGTCTACTGTCCCTTAGAGCTGTGAAAAACTTCTAAGCCAATGCAATCAAAAGATACAGCCGTTTATGCCGCAAATTTTCGACATTCGCAAGGGAATCAAAACCGGGTATCAAAACTGGGTACTTCCCGTGAACTCAGAATCTTGAAATTTGGTACGAAGCAACGTTTTATAGCACAGATAAAGGAAAAATTGCGAAAAGCATAAATTTTTAGTTACATCATATAATCAAAATATTTTTAATAATTTTAAACTTATATACCTACAGATTGGTTCGGAACCCTCGGTGCGCGAGTCCGACTCGCACTTTGCCGGTTTTCTTTTAGGAAGATGCTGCAGCCCCCTACTGATTTGTTCCCTTCTGTCGAGACTTACGACACCCACGGGACGTTATACGATAGTGGATATTCTCACACCGCCACTACGCTGTGATGCTTCTATTTAGCAAGGACTATTTAGTTAATATATTTAAAAGGTTAATGATCTCCACGTATCATAGTAATTTAATATGCTAATGCATCTTAGTAGGGTGGATGCCCCTATTAGCAGCCTTTTAGTGCCAATTTCAACTTTAAAAGTTCTTGCTATTTTAATTAGGGCACAATATTTTTAAACATTTGTTTTAATCGATAGGTTATTTATGGACAAATGTAATGAACATTTATTTACAATCATATTATTTTAAGAACAATTTTAAAAATGATGATAAGCAAAAAAAGGCGTTATGGCTCAAATTCCAACCACCCTGAACCAAATGTCGTCCTTTTGTGTACCTAATGTCGGCATAGCATAGGGCTATGCCTTTTGAGTTAGTTTGCAGGTACGTATTGTAGATAAGTTTTAGAGGCAGAGTAATAAATTCGTAACAACTTTTAATTTGGAATCTGCATGTCACAAGCATGGAATATGTATTAAGGCAGACTACAACATTATTTTATTTTAATGTTTTACTACTTAACATAATGTGTTTTAGTTTAAAGCATTTCAATAAATTAAAGCAAAAAGTGTACATCGATTTCTAATAATTTAATCATCCAAGTTTTCAAATCATCATCGTATTTACAACCTTACACAAATCCACTACTGAACATCGTCCTCCATAGAGTGCCACAAAGCCTGATCTTAAACCACTTTCCTTGTCAGAGTTTTTCATTTATGTTCTAAGTTATAATTAGTATTACTAAGTTATAGTTTTTACTTGTATATACCATATTTATTGCTTATTTTTTCTTCTTTCTCAAAAAATAATTGAATACGTAAGGTGTTCTTAATATACACCGAATGTCAGATACAAAAGCTAGTACATCTTTTGCTAAACTTTAAAATCTAAAACCAATTTTAAAACAAACAAATTGATCATAACTCCCTTAATTATATAATGAGTTATAATCTAATTAATGGTATTTATTCCAGTTTATGACAGCCCTGATTTATATTACGTGGCTGAAATTAGGTACGTCAAACCAAGTAACAGCCGGGCGGCTGACATTATGCACTCCATACATTTCGTATATCTAATTACAGCCCCATTAATTTCCACTAAAAGAAAATAAATAACTTATACATTGAAACAAAAATAACTGAATTACTATGTCTATAGTCATATTCATACAAATGAAAAAGCCTATATATGAGATAATGTAAAGTAAGCATAATTTTACCGGGAGCATAACTTGTCAAAAAAATTAGGAAAATGAGCGTTCTTCGTTGCGTACGTGTTTTGATACGTACGGGTTTAAAACTGTGAGGTAATATTTGAAATATACTTTCCTCTAGTTACGAAGAATTTTTAGGTGACAATATTTGTAGTTAAGACTACTAGAAATCTTATTTCCGAAGTAAAAAGGCGAATAGGCTGGAATTAGGGGAATGGATGGCTGGTATCAGGAGCATCCACCCTATCTAATTTAATATGCTAATGCAATGCTTCTTACTTTTAGGTGACCGAATTGAGTAATGTCTATTAATACTTTGATATTTACACGGGTTTTCAAATACTTTTATAACATAATTAATAGTTAATGTATGTCTAGGTTTGTAATGTTTCTTATCGGCGGTAAGCCATATTAATTACTGGTTGTTTGAATTCTTAAAAACTCGTATCTTTTAATCGCAGTCATGAGATAGAGAGTCTTATCATGCTTGAAAAAGGTTAGATATAGCTTTAAACCTACCTTCTGGAATGATATGAGACCGATGATGGTATGCACTTACACCTTATTTAAGTTTTACACCATAATGCGTCTTGCGGACGTCTGCTATTTTTAGCAGTTTCAAAAAAGGAGGAGACATTTAATACGTCTGTTTTTTCTCTAGGTGTCTTCGCTAAGTGTGAACCGATTTTAATGTTTCTTTTTTTATTAAATACTAGCTGTTCCCCGCGACTTCGCACGCGTGTTATTACGGGTTTTATTTTTTTTGCGCGGAACCCTAATTATGTTTCTAAAATAAAAGTAGCCTAAGTTACTCCTTAGAATATCAGCTATCTGCCAGTGAAAGTCCCGTCGAAATCGGTCCAGCCGTTTCGGAGATTAGCCGGAACAAACAGACAGACAGACAGACCGACAGACAGACAGACAAAAATTTTAAAAATTGTATTTTTGTAATAAGTACCATATATACATTCATATGCATTTAGTAAAAAGCTGTTATTTTAACATTACAAACAGACACTTCAATTTTATTTATTTGTATAGATGTATAGATGACATAAGGAATATCCATCCAATAAATTGAACAAATAAATTCACCACTAGAGGTGGAAAAACAGGGAATGTAGATTTTAATGTATTTTTTTATACGTAGCAGAATCAAACTGCAGCTATATTATAGTTGCAGCACGAATGGGTTCTCTACACTCAATAACACACTCTCTATATCGAGCCGACCCATTCGTGCTACAACTATACTACTGATATAACTGCAGCATGACTCTACCACGTATCTCTTCTATAGAAATCCAAACGCTTAGCCACTGCACTACCATGACGTAATTGATGTGATATGGTCTGCGACTTCTACCCCTTGGGAACTGATAAAAACATTTCCCGCTGTACCTTTTATTTACCTGTGATTTAAGGGACCATCTCTTAATCCTGAACATGGTCTTTACTATACGTTTATAACCTGTCAAAGGTTTTTTTTTGACGAGGCATATACTTCCGTCACGACCCCTTCTGACGTATTGTATACGGCCTTGACGGCTATAAGGAAGCGAGATGGAACAATATCCATCTCCCTCTCACTTTTTCTTATCTTGCCATGAAAGAAATATTATTTTTATTTTAAATGACGCTTCATTTTAATAGACGCTAGTAATTCATTTATTTGTATTTGTTAATCAATAATAATATACTACGAAAGGTACTTCGTTCCAACCGAGTGTTGCACGACATTCACGCATGTTTTTTTAGTAGTTATTAGGATGACCCATGGATGGGTAACCCACGGGATTATATAGGGTAGTGGAAATTCTTACACCGCCACTAGACTGTAAAGTAATTTATTTATATTAAATGAATCAAAAATTTCTCTGCCCCTCAGTTTCAAAGATGGCAAGGTGTCGTACGGCACGGACAGTCCGGCGCGGGGGCGTCGCGTCATCTTCTGCGTGCACGGCAACCCGTCCACCGGATGCTGCGCGGTCATAGAGAACGGCGAGCCCGACCACAGCGACCACCCTAACGGCAGTATTACGGAAATGGATAGTAAGTATGCTTCGCTGAAAATTCACTTCTAAGTTGAGGTTTCATTGAATACAAAACCCAAGTCCATGAAATCTCAAGACTGTTATGGAACAACGGTGACAAACGAGCACACAGTCCACCAGATAGTAGGTGAACGCAGCGTGCTATTTATTTACTACTTCATCTATCGATTGAGAATCATCATGCAGACACGTTGTCACCTCTGAGGACTAGAGAAGGTGGAAAGTCCTGTTTCCACTTTAAGCGTTTCCGATTCTCTACACTCACAATACAAAACACAGCTGCATTAAGTTGCCATTTTACGCTGGTATATTGTGAAAGCGTGGTCCTTCCCCGGTCGAATCGACCAGTTTATGCTGCATCTATAATATAGCCACAGCGTGCCGGCATTGTAGTGACTGCCATATCCATATCTCCATAGGATATGGATGTCGCAAGATGCAAATTGTGGGCAGTGCCCAAAAGAAAAAGAATTATGAATAAAAGTTGTAAAGTAGAACTTACCATAAGGTAAAGTAGAATTTACCATACGAAACACAGCATTATGCTGCTATTTCACGCCGGTATTTTGTGAGAGCATGCTCTTTCAACGGTCGAGCCGATGTATTCGTGCTAAAATCATGATCACCACGTCTCTTATTCCTGTCATCAGAGTTACAATGCATTTTCACTTAGATTCTACAATAACAATCCTATGGATGTTTATGGATCACTGCATTCATTTACGTGGGCTGTATGCTGGTTTGTCACCCTTAATGTATTTAAAAAATATATTTATAGTAAATGTAAATTTGTTGTGCCTCAGGACACTGTCACCGATCCAGAAATGAAGACATAGACAAACGGGCGCGGAGAAAACTAATCATCGCTAGTGTGCTGTGCGTCATATTTATGATTGGAGAGATAGTCGGTAAGTGTAAACAGATTAATGGCCAAATACTTTAACGCTACTCAGTGAGGCCATCCACGACTTTTTCTGCCACCAGGGCGGCGCCACTTGTGAGGTACAATATTTGACAGATTTCATAGCGGGGAAGTTGATTTGTTCGGAAAATGTTAAGGGTAAAGTTTATTTCTGTACTTTTAGCTATATTTTATATTAATACGATTAACCACAGATATTCATAAAAGTAGAAAAATTAAAAAAAAAGTTAAATATGTGCAAAAAATTAAAGAGCAAACCACTGACGCATTGTTTTGTGTATTAATATAATACTTTAGAAACTGATAAACTTTTATTTAAAACTTACTACTTCATGTAAATGATATTGTGCAACAAAAAAACTGCGTTAACATTTCGTTGTGAAAATTTTAGAGCACCTAATTTTTAAACTTTGCACCTAATTAGCACCTAAAAAGTCCCTAATTTTGGGTTTTACTAAATGAAAATTCCTGACTTTGTGTTGCTGGCGAAACACAGCTATAGAAGTCCACTGCTGAACATAGGTCTCGCGCATAGATTGCTTTATAGGAATATTGCGATAGCAGCCACGCTTGGCAAGTGGCAACCGCAATTTTTTTATTATTTTAAGTTGTCATCCTTCCTGATGACGCTACTTCCCATCTCCTGTTCCACTGTCCTTCTGTCGCCACTTACGACACTGACGGGATGATATGTGGTTGGGGTAGTGGATATTCTTACTATACGGTACTTTTTTAATTAGGCAATAATATTTTTTGTTACACAATTGTACGCTTACACCATTACAGAATTAAATTGGTAATCGATTCTCATTACGCGACTGGTAACAATGCTCTATACTGAAAATAATATTGTAAAAATAATTGAGTTGTTCTATCGATGAATTGTTCTGTAATTAACAAATATGAAAGCCTAATGTAATTATTGTGTAACATAAAACGAATGGAGTAGCCGCCCTTACAATTACGAGTATTACGTGAAAAAGCTATTAAAAAATTTAATTAGGTTTTTTACTAAAAAGTAAAAACCTACTTCATAGATTAAAATGATTTCCATTAAATTCTTTTACTGATGATGAAAACGGCACAAATCCATTTAGAGATTTGAAGTGAATGCGGATGCAGACAAGCGAATTTGTTTTTGTAGTAGTTGTGATATGTAGATGACACTGAAATATTTTTATGAAATCTTAAACAGACAAACTAATTTAATATACCTCATCAGGTTTTTTTAATATTTAATAGTAATTTATTTTTTATTGTTGCTATTTTGATCAGTGCTAAAATCTTTCAATGTAACTCTATTACAGTTCGCTGTATATCGAACTATGACTATTTATAATCGAACATATCCAAACTGAAGCAATATGATTTTTATATTTACGCTATACGATACACATTGAATAAAACTGGGACGGGGCAGTCCCCGTCGATACCTCGGTGATTATAGATGCTGCAAAGCAGTTGAAACTTCAGGAATTCAAAAGTAGTTTAGGTACATAAGGCGTGATAAAATCCTTAACATTTTATACAGTGGCAAAATGTGTGAGAAATGTATTATCTGTCATATATTTTTCTCTAATTTCAGGTGGTTACCTATCCAACAGTCTGGCGATAGCCACGGACGCGGCTCATCTGCTTACGGACTTCGCCAGTTTTATGATCTCCTTGTTCTCGTTATGGGTTGCGAGCCGGCCGGCCACGAGACGGTAAGACATCGTAGCAGGAGTTACAAGTACAACTTTTTTGAGTATTAGCCTCAGCTGTTTTACATTCCGTATTTTAGATTATGTTCTCTTTTTTTTGTATAAAACTGAAGTGACAAACGAACTTACATTCACCTGGTGGTAAGTGGTTACTACCGTCTATGGACACATCTGTAGCCATGTAACATTATATAAAGAGGGCTACACATACGTTGTCATCTCTAGAACCTATGTGTTCTAAAAAGTAAAAATTGCTTATTAAGTGAAATTTGTTTCCAAGAAGTTTAATTACTATAGAGTACATAATTGAAAATAACCCCTGGAAATAAGGTGACCATGCTATTTGTAAATATGTTCATACTTAATTGTATAAAAAATTATATTGTAAATAGCTGTTTCCCGCGACTTCACCCGCGCGTAATTTATTACGATTGGATTTCATGGGTTTTCATTTTTTGAGCAGAACCCTAATTCTTTATCTAAAATAAAAGTAGCCTAATTTGCCGGAACAAACAGACAGACAGAGAGACAGGCAAAAATTTTAAAAATTGTATTTTTGCTTTAAGTACCGTATACACTTTCATATGTATTTAGTAAAAAACTGTAATTTTGATATTACAAACAGACACTTCAATTTTATTTATTTGTATAGATTAATGTTTAAAAAAAAGTCCCGCTGGTGTTTTTTGCTGGTTCCTCCCAGAACAGAGGCTTTTTCCGAACCAGTGGTAAAATTTAAATGATTTTTTTTATAGAATAAGGGTTACCAATGAGCACACAGTTCCCCTGATGGTAAATAAATGCTGTGGGTCATAAACATTTATATTTATCCTCGATTAAGAATCAAAATGCAGATACTAAGATGGAATGCCTCTTTTCCAGTAAAAAGGGTCTCAGGTTCTCTACACTCACCATACCAAACACAGCAGCATTAAGCTGCTATTTTACGCTGGTATTCTTTGAGAGCGTAGTTCTACCACGTATAAACTTTGAATAATTGTTGTTATAATCTATATTGGACAAAAATTCTCCTATTTTATTCTAAGGACTAAGATGGAATGCCTCACAACCTGTAAATGGAAGGCTACAGGACATACAGCAGTGTGAAGACTACTGTTTAGCGGCAGAAATATTTAAGAGGGTGGTACCCAGACTGACTCCTCGGCAGAAAAAAGTCATACCACCTGGTAAATTTTTTAGTTTAGTGTATCAATGTTTTTTACAGAATGCCGTTCGGGTGGTATCGCGCAGAGGTGATCGGTGCTCTAACATCAGTTCTCCTGATCTGGGTGGTGACGGGAGTGCTCGTCTACATGGCCGTGCAACGCGTGATCAACAAGGAGTTCGAGATCGACGCAACCGTGATGCTCATCACCTCCGCCATCGGTGTCGCCGTCAACCTCGTGTGAGTAGCATCTTCGAATTTCACTTTCAATTTCAGGAGATAGAATTGTGACTTCGGAATGCTTTTGAAATTTTTCAACATTACATTACCATTACAGCCTTTTAAAGTTCACTGCTGAACATAGGCGTCCCTATAGATTGCCTTAAGGGGGGATATTTGCCATAGTTGCAACGCTTGGCAAATGGGTTAGCAACCGCATTTTTTTTATTTTTAGTCGTTTTGACGAAGACGCGGCTGCCCCACTCACGGGATGATATGGGGTAGTGGATATTCTTACACCGCCACTACACGGTTTCAACGTTACATTACGGTGCGTGAATTCAGACTTTTTTTACACGGCCAGTAGTGAAGGACCATGTCTCGGTTTCGTAAGTCGATACTCGTGGTTTCTCGACATAAGAAAATCTGTAAATGTGAACATGTATGCGTTGTTATATGGACGTGACGTAGGTGAGATTTGTGTCACGATCGGGCCAAATGGAAATCCGTAGTCTCTGCCTACCCTCTGGATGACAGGCGTGAGTGTTTATGTGTTATGTTATGTGTAAAACCTGTACCGGTTTTTAAAAGACTTGCTGAATATTTACTAGCCAGTATAGCCGAATTTTCTGGTAGTCCGTTACTTTAAAGTAAAGAAAATCTGGACAAAAATAAATCAGCAGTAGTTGAGAGGGACAAGCCACAGATGAAAGCAAAACAGGAGAAAACAGTAGAAACAATAAGTATGTAATTAGCAATGGAAGCAGTAAACGAGGCAGGGGATCCAACAAAGGAGATAGGATGGGGGCGTGTTGAAACTCACAGTTTTAGCTAACTCTAGGAGATGGCTCGTGATAGAACTCAATGGCATACTGAATTAAGATACATACTTTATACGTGGTAGAGCCATGCTGCAGCTATATTATGGTTGTAGCACGAATGGGTCGGCTCGACCGGGGAAGGACCACGCTCTCACAGAATACCAGCGTAAAATAGCAGCTTAACACTGCTGTGTTTCGTATGGTGAGTGTAGAGAACCGGAGACCCTTTTCACTGGAAACGAGGCATTCCATCTTAGTCCTCACGGGTGACAACGCATCTGCATTTTGATTCTTAATCGAAGATAGATGTAGATGTCTATGGGCCACAGCAACCACTTACCATCAGGTGGACTGTGTGCTCGTTTGTCACCCTTATTCTATAAAAAAAAACTATAACAATACACATAAACCAAGGATAGTTCAGAATAATAAGATCATCGCTGTGTAAATGTAAACCTAAAAACCGTTTGTATGTTTGTCCAAAAATTGTCTTCTATTCGAACAATTTGCCGTGTAGTGGCGGTTAAGAATATCCACTACCCCATATCTTCCCGTGGGTGTCGTAAAAGGCGACAAAGGGAAACAGGCAGGAGATGGGCAGCAGCATCTTCCTGGTAACGACAAAATACAATAAAAAACTGCGGTTGCCAACCCGCTCGCCAAGCGTGGCAACTATGGCAATATACCCCCCATAATGAAAGTTACGAAGAGACGGCCCCCAGTCCCCGGCGGCCCCGCTATTCCTGGCTACGGTGGCGACCATGGTAACGGCGGGGCAGGGGGTGCTAAGAATCTCCGGTGGAGGTTCGGTTGCCACCTACAACGACTCGACCTGGCAACATACAACGCACGCACCCTGAGGACTGACGAGAAGATTGTGGAGCTGGAAGAAGAGATAGACAAGTTACGCTGGCATATTATAGGATTATCCGAAATCCGAAGAGAGGGGGAGGACACGGTAATCCTCGAATCCGGCAACTTGCTCTATCACCGGGAGGGCGACCATCTGTCCCAAGGAGGTGTCGGATTTATCGTCCACAAGTCTCTCGTTAACAACGTTGTAAAGATTGAGAGTGTGTCGACGAGGGTTGCGTACCTTATACTCAGAATCACCAAACGGTATTCGCTGAAGGTCATACAGGTTTACGCACCAACCTCGGCACACCCCGATCAGGAGGTGGAGGAAATGTATGAGGATATCTCTAGAGCCATGCATTCCTCCAAAACCCAATATACGGTGTTAATGGGAGACTTCAATGCAAAACTAGGCACAAGAGAGAACGGTGAGCTGAAAGTGGGGAAATTTGGAATAGGGCAACGGAACCCAAGGGGCCAGCAGTTGGCCGACTTCATGGAGAAAGAGGGACTCTTTATGATGAACTCTTTCTTCCAGAAGCGGCCCCACAGGAAGTGGACCTGGTCGAGCCCCGACGGTTCGACAAAAAATGAGATTGACTTCATTATGACGACCAGACGACAACTGTTCAGTGATGTCTCAGTGATCGCGAGGGTGAAAACCGGCAGCGATCACCGAATGGTTAGAGGCACACTGAACCTAAACGTTAAGTTGGAGAGGTCTCGTCTAATGAAGTCAACGCTCCGTCCCCCTCGTGCTCTAATCCAAAGTCCCGAAACCTTTCAGCTCGAGTTGCAAAACCGTTTTCAGTGCCTAGAAGACTGCAATGAAGTGGACGATTTGAATGACAAGCTCGTGGAAACTGTCCATGCGGTCGGAGCTAAGTTCTGCAAGACCCGCCGCAGAAGAACACAAAAACTCTCCGATCACACTCTTAATCTCATGGCTGTTAGACGGGAGATGAAGCTACATTCTTCAACAGATTTGACAGCATACAGGCAACTGAACAGACAGATCTCCAAATGCATGCGGCGGGACTTACGCAACTTCAATACAGCTCGTATTGAAGAAGCGATCGAGCGGAACCAAGGCTCCAAAGTCTTTGCCAGAGATCTGTCTGCCAGAAAGAGCCAACTGTCAAAGCTGAAGACCGAATGTGGCAGCATCGTTTCCGGGGCACCTGAGATTTTGAGTGAGATTGAGAAGTTCTATGGGCAGCTGTACACGTCATCGTTGGAGCCACACGCAAGTGTGAGTAACGATCCAAGAGCGAGTCTTATCCGACATTATTCCGATGATATCCCGGACGTCAGTCTGAGCGAGATTAGAATGGCTCTCCAGCACCTTAAAAACGGCAAGGCCCCAGGCCAGGATGGAATTACAGCGGAGCTTCTGAAAGCGGGTGGAAAACCGGTACATGAAGTCCTTCAGAAGCTCTTTAATTCCGTCCTCCATGGTGGCATTACACCGGAGGCGTGGAGCAGAAGTGCGGTGGTCTTGTTCTTCAAGAAAGGCGACAACGCTCTTTTGAAGAACTACAGACCGATTTCCCTTCTGAGCCGCGTCTACGTGCTGTTTTCGAGAGTCATTACGAATCGTCTCGCGCGCAGACTTGACGACTTCCAGCCTCCCGAACAAGCCGGTTTCCGAAAAGGCTTTAGCACCATAGACCACATACATACCCTTAGGCAAATTGTACAGAAGTCCGAAGAGTACAATTTGCCACTATGTCTGGCGTATGTGGACTATGAGAAAGCCTTTGATTCCGTCGAAATTTGGGCGGTGCTGCAGTCCCTTCAGCGATGCCAAGTTGACTGTCGGTATATCGAAGTGTTGAAGTGCTTGTACAGTAGGGCTACGATGGCTATCCGAGTACAGAACCAGAGTACGAAACCTATCCAATTGCAGAGAGGTGTAAGACAGGGTGACGTCATATCCCCGAAACTCTTCACCGCTGCATTGGAAGATGTTTTCAAGCTTCTGGACTGGAAAGGATACGGTATCAACATCAATGGCGAGTACATCACTCACCTTCGATTTGCCGACGATATAGTCCTTATGGCAGAATCGCTGGAGGACCTAAGCACTATGCTCAATGACCTCAATAGTGTTTCCCAACGGATAGGTCTTAAGATGAACATGGACAAAACAAAGATCATGTTTAATGTCCATGTCACACCTATGCCGGTAGTTGTTGGGAACACTAAGCTCGAAGTTGTTGACGAGTATGTTTACCTGGGACAAATAGTCCGATTAGGTAAGTCCAACTTCGACCGAGAGGTCAATCGACGGATTCAACTCGGTTGGGCAGCGTTCGGGAAATTACGGCACATCTTCTCGTCAGGTATACCTCAAAACTTGAAAACGAGACTGTACACCCAGTGCGTGTTGCCAGTGATGACATACGGAACTGAGACGTGGTCCTTCACTGCTGGCCGGATGAGGAAGCTCAAGGTCGCTCAGCGAGCTATGGAGAGGGCTATGCTCGGAGTTTCTCTGCGTGATAAACTCAGAAATGAGGATATCCGCAGTAGAACCAGAGTGACCGACATAGCCCAACGGATTAGTAAGCTGAAGTGGCAATGGGCCGGCCATATAGCTCGAAGAACCGACAACCGATGGGGAAGAAAGGTTCTCGAGTGGCAGCCTCGTACCGGCAGGCGAAGTGTAGGGCGTCCCCCCACTAGATGGAGTGACGACCTGGTAAGATTTGCAGGAAGTCGATGGATGCAGGTGGCTCAGGACCGTGCTTTGTGGCATTCTTTGGGGGAGGCCTATGTTCAGCAGTGGACTTGTGAAGGGCTGTAATGATGATGATGATGATGATTCGAACAAGTTTCAAATTGACGGCTCCGTGGCGCAGTGGCTTAGCAATGAGTTATAGCGCTGTGGGGGTAACGTTATAGTACCCGGGTAAAGTTACTTGGTCACCACCAAACAGAAACAGAACACGATCAAAAGCAAAGCTGTATATATTTTATTGTGTTAATGTAGGTATGGCGATATTTCTGGGGTTAAATAACCGATTTGGAAGAGTTAAGAATTTCCATGAATTGATTTGTCTCTCTATATTAATATATTTTTTCCCCAAGATCATTACTGAAAATCATCTTTGTGGTTTCACCGCAACACATGCTAAGTGATGGCCGTTTTGCCATGCCTGTGACGTACAAAGTCTAATTTATTAAAATAAATATGCGTATAATTTAAGTTATAAATTTGTATATAATTTGTATATTGGGTGCGTCAATGGTCGTTGTCAGAATAAAGTTTCTTTCTTTCTTCTCCTTCTTCATTGATTTTTTTTTTGCTGAAATACTTTCACAGTGGCCCCATATATGTAGTATCCTGTACATTCCTTTAAAAATAATCCAATTTAAAACTATCGGTTCGGTGAAATCAAAGTTCGATACGATAACATATAGTTAAGGCATATGAAATATTCTATATGAGCCTAATAAAAAATTATGTACGTGGTAGAGCCATGCTGCAGCTATATTAATAGTATTGTTGTAGCACGAATGGTTCGGCTCGACCGGGGAAGGACCACGCTCTCACAGAATACCAGCGTAAAATAGCAGATTAACACTGCTGTGTTTCGTATGGTGAGTGTAAAGAACCGGCGACCCTTTTTACTGGAAAAGAGGCATTCCATCTTAGACCTCACAGGTGACAACGCATCTGCATTTTGATTCTTTATTGAGGATAGATGTGGATGTCTATGGGTCACAGCAACCACTTACCATCAGGTGGACTGTGTGCTCGTTTGTCACCCTATCCTATCAAAAAAATAATAATGAAACTTAATCAATTCCAGAATGGGTCTGACCCTTCACCAGCATGGACACAGCCACGGCGGTCACGGGCACTCGCATGGCGGAAAGAACCCTGTGCTCAATAACAAGGTAACCTTTAATTTATTTTTACTTAAGCAGTTACGTGATAACAATTGAACTATTGTTACATATATTATTAAGTAATGAGGTACTCAAACAAAAAAAAAACTTACTGTCAAAGTTTCTTTTACATTAAACTTGAAGCTATTTTATTGTCAAACTAAACGAAGAATACCGGTCCTAGGTGAAAGCCCTGTGGTACCCTTTACAAACTGCTTGCCAAATATTTTATTTTCATATTTTTTTGTTTTTGAATAATTTGTTGTGCCTTTTAGTTGAATGATAAATTTTAAATGTAATATAAAGTTTATTTCTGAAATAATCTTAAAATAAAGCACTCACGTCATGACATGTACAAGCTTGCACAGGTTTTAATATTTATGTCACTACCAATATTAACAATAATTGTTTCGAAATCAAAATATTCGCGAAATTTTTGCTCAAGCAATTCAACAAATGCGCATAATTTGTTGACGTTTGAGTATGAGATATCTGTCTACCACATTAAAAATAATAAATAATAATTAAGTACTAATTACTTAGCGGAGTCTTAGAGATATTTTAAAATAATACATTTTTGTTAACCTAATTTGCTTTGAACAAATTACAATATTATTACTATTTAATGTTATACTATTAATAACAATTATTAAGTGTTTATATACGTTCTATTAGTGTACATACACACTGTATAGTAAACCATATTTGCACTTTTTTATAGTCTACATGACAGTTATTATTTAATATTTTTATATCAAACGTGAAACGAAAACGAGCACGTTGTGCGACGGGTACGCTACACCCTGAGTTTGAGCACTGGCCGAGCCGCTTTACAGCAGTTTTCCTCTGTACATGATGATCCGATAGTGCTCACGCAGGCTTGTAGTAGTGTACTACCTGTGTGGTTAAAGAATGGGATTGAAAATGGCGTTGTCTCTGTTCACCTTTCGCTTGCACACTGTCGCTATCTATACTCACACCCGCCAGTAAAGACTGCAAAAAATATGTTGCCATAGCGTTTTCTGTACGTTCTTTACGTACAGGAAACGTTCCACCGTGTCATTGGAATTGATACTTACTTATCTTCACGCACAATCCCTGACGGGGTAGCCAGAGAGAACAGATCGCCAAGTGTCACGATCCTTACATACCTCTTTCGCTTCTTTCAGATTCATTATCTTCTTCATACATGCACGTCTAGGTATCCGAGTACTCTTGACCCTACCCTCTTCGAGCAATTTGCTCACATGGTCTTCGAAAGTTAGTCTCGGTCTACCTCGACACCTTTTAATATTAACTTTCGCGCTATATATTTTCTTCATCATTCGGTCTTCACTCATTCGCTCAACGTGCCCAAACCACCGAAGCACGCCCTTATTAATTTTTGTGATAAGGTCATCTTTCAAACCTGCCATATTGCGAATCTCTTCGTTTCGCTTTCGGTCGGCCATGGTAATGCAGCACATTTTACGAAGAGATCGCATCTCCACTGCATTCAACTTGCTTTTATGCTTCTTCTGGCATACCCAGGTTTCGCTGCCATATAACAAAGTCGGTACCAACACTGCGTTATGTATTGCAAGGCGTGCACTCTTCACTACGCCTTGCCTTTTGACTAACGCAGTCAGGGCACCATTGACTTTGTTCCCGGCAGCGACACGCCTGTCCACATCTAAATCACATCTTCCATCCCGGCTAAAAGCACTCCCCAAGTACACAATTGGAATTGATGATTACAAAATACCATAAACTACAAAAAAATATGTAGAAATGTGCCTACTTACGTATACAATTATTTTCAAATATATCCCCATTAATAGAAAATTTACAATTAACCGGATAATATAAAGTTATAACGATATACTGTTATTAGCGGGTTTTCGCTATTGGTACTGTTCATGCTGACGGTACAGGCTCAATGAGCCTCTATTTCTAATCCCATTCTTTATCCGTACAGACTGTACTCGTCATAGCGCGTTTGTATGAAGCTTTGCCTCTGGTTGGTTACTTTACTCGTGTGGTTATGTTTTAGGCAGTGTCAAGTAATATCAATTTATTCTTTATAGTAAATTGTACATGACGTTGATTGATCCTTGGTTGAATTTTATGCTGCTGAAACGGTTGATGGTGTCGCGTTACTTTTGTTGACTACACTCTCTATATCCGATATATCTATGTTTAAAAATATAATCGGTCCTTTGGATGCTCAGAAGGGCTAGAACCCAGAGCCGTAAAGCCAGTTTAAAAAAATGGGTCGTTTGGAACATTGTTGTACAGGAACGAACGTCGGACTCGGACGCGGAGAGCTCGTGCTCTCAGGGCGCGGCGCCGGCGCACGCGCGCAGCGAGAACATCAACGTGCGCGCCGCCTTCATACACGTGCTGGGGGACTTCCTGCAGAGCTTCGGCGTTTTCATCGCCGCTATCGTCATATACTTCAAGGTACTGTGTTGTTTATTAAAGGACTTGCTGATACCCGCGACCTAGTCCGCGTTGAAAACACACCACAAAGACAAAATCTCTTTGTAAACAATGTCATTCGTTGCTTCGTTTGTAGCTAAAATATATAAATTATCTGCAGACTACGCGAGAGCATGCGGCGTACAGTTAGTTGATCATGTGAAAAACCCCGTATATAATTATTTTTCTTTAAACTAAACTTTATATTAAATGAAGATACCGCAATATTTTTTTTGATAAGGGTCAAGAGTCTAAGAAATAAAACTTAGAAAACCTAATTGAAATCTCTAGTAGTTTTTCCATGATGCGCACACAACGCAAACCTCTATATAGATTTGCTTTCAGAGAAATAAAACACGTGTTACCTACTCGTGGTTTATTGGATTTAGTTCGACTGGCACAGCCTCTTAAACACAATAAAGTGCACATAGATAAACTTGTTTACTCGAATGAACGTGTTTCTCACATGATTAAAATGTTTACTCGTTGATAACTCAAAAGCTAATGACCCGATTAGGCTGAAAATTGGTATATATACTAACAATGAGTCACTCAACTAGCGTCTATCTGGATGAGTAAGCTCGCCTTCGCCAATCCCGTCATTCCGCGAACTTTTTGACCTCCCCTCGAATATAATGCCAAAGACGCTAATATTTGGGTTTTGAAATTTTAACTTTTTAATTTTGTCAACATTATTTTTGGCCACAGCGTATTTTTTATTAAATTTACATTGATATATTGAGTACATTATCATCAGCCTGCTACAGTCCACTCCTGGGCATACTCACGTTACCATCCAATTAATTTGGACGCTTGATGGTCCACTACTGTGCGGTTTACTAGGGGTTTTCATCCTCGTACGACTTCTTTGTGGAATGGTTTAATACTTGCAAGAAACGAGTTTACTGCTTTTTAAAAAGCCGCAACGCACCTGCAGTTTTCCTGGTGTTGCAGTTCTTTATGGGCGGCCGTAGTCACTTACCATCAGGTGAGCTGCATGCTCGTTTGCCTTCTATTATATAAAAAAATAGGCCTTGGCCAAGGCCCGGCCACTTCGGCTTCACGCATCCACTATTGAGTAGATATGTATTATCTTTTACTTTTTATTAGGGTTTCGTACCCAAAGGGTAACCAACGGGACCCTATTACAAAGCATCCGCTGTTCATCCGTCCGTCCGTCTGTCAGCGGGCTGAATCTCATGATCCGTAATAGGTAGACAGTTGAAATTTTCGCACAATGTGTATTTCTGTTACCAGGTGTGATTGTATATACTTGCTTATAGGAACGATATAGGGTAGTGTTGATATTTTTACACCGCCACTACACGGGTACGTGTACATACTTTTATAATTATTGTAAAATATAGTACGTGAGGATATCAAGGTCATCCGGTTAAAAGGGGTCACTGTCTTATAACTGAAAAACTACAGCCTTGTTTACATAGATGTCTTTGTGATACGATAGCTCTTCTTTGGCCAATCATATAACTTGACCGGCGGCGGTTTGCTGCTTCTATTTTTTTGTTTAAATAATGGTTTGAAGTGGACTTTGATATTTAAAAGTGGTGCGATTTTGTGTATTAAGTGTCTGCGCATGTGAACTATTAGTGGAAACTGTGAATCAAATGCTCTGATAGTGATGTGATTCTCAAAATAAGGTGCCTGTCTGCTTAGGCGCCTTGAGACACCATCGCTAACCGTCAGCTGTCTGCTGGCTCAAGTTGCCGTCAAAATCTCCCAAGGGCTGCACTATGTGACGCATCAACATATTGTGAAGCAGTATAGTATGAAGAATAATTATTATAATATAATATTGTAACTTCAGGCTCAGAAGGGCTAGATCCCAGAGCCGTAAAGCCAGTTATTAAGAAGAAGAAGTAAAGAGTCAAAAGGTCAATGCTTTATAGACGCCTCTTTAACAGTTGACTTTTTTGTAAATATTTTAGTCGATTTTAGTATTGTGTAGTGTAGTTAGTTTTTTAAGTTGATTTTTCGAAGTGTTCCTGATAATAATTTCCTGCTCACCAGATGTCGCTAGTTGACACTGAGGTAAAGTTATTTGTTACACAGTGTAATGAAATGAGAAGTTGTTTTTTAATAAAAGTTTATCAGTTTCTAGAGTATTATATTAATACAAAAAACAATCCGTCAGTGGTTCGCTCTTTAATTTTTTGCACATTTTTAACTTTTTTTATTTTTTCTACTTTTATGTATATCTGTGGTTTGGTTTATTTATTTTTAATCTTATTGATATAAAATATAGGTAATAGTACAAAAAGAGACAATAATTTTTACACTTTCCGAACAAATTAACTTCCCCGCTTTGAAATCTGTCAAATATTATACCTCACTTTCTAGTGGCGCCGCCCTGGTGGCAGAAAAAGCCCTCATTGCCAAGGCTTGTTTGCTTTTTTTTTTAACTATTATATATTTGAAACAGAAACAGAAACTTTTTTATTCAATATAGATTATAAATAATACTTATTGAAAGTCACTCTTTTGTTTGATTACCACTGGTTCGGAAAAGAACCTCTGTCCTGGGAAGAACCAGCAAGAAACCCAGCGGGACTTTTTTTTAAAAATAACAGCTTACAATCATGATGTTACACAAATTAACAACACAACAAATTAGAAATAGCTTGGTAGCGATCACCTCATTTCCAGGGGTTATTCATCATCATCATTCATCATCATTACAGCCCTTCACAAGTCCACTGCTGAACATAGGCCTCCCCCAAAGAATGCCACAAAACACGGTCCTGAGCCTCCTGCATCCATCGACTTCCTGCATGTCTTACCAGGTCGTCACTCCATCTCGTGGGGGGACGCCCTACACTTCGCCTACCGGTACGAGGCTGCCACTCGAGAACCTTTCTTCCCCATCGGTTGTCGGTTCTTCGAGCTATATGGCCGGCCCACTGCCACTTCAGCTTACTAATCCGTTGGGCTATGTCGGTCACTCTGGTTCTACTGCGGATATCCTCATTCCTAAGTTTATCACGCAGAGAAACTCCGAGCATAGCCCTCTCCATAGCTCGTTGAGCGACCTTGAGCTTCCTCATACGGCCAGCAGTGAAGGACCACGTCTCAGTTCCGTAAGTCATCACTGGCAACACGCACTGGTTGTACAATTTCGTTTTAAGGTTTTGAGGTATGTCTGACGAGAAGATGTGTCGTAGCTTCCCGAACGCTGCCCAGCCCAGTTGAATCCGTCGATTGACCTCTCGGTCGAAGTTGGACTTACCCAGTCGGACTATTTGTCCCAGGTAAACATACTCGTCAACAACTTCGAGCTTAGTGTTCCCAACAACTACCGGCATAGGTGTGACATGGACATTAAACATGATCTTAGTTTTGTCCATGTTCATCTTAAGACCTATCCGTTGGGAAACACTATTGAGGTCATTGAGCATAGTGCTTAGGTCCTCCAGCGATTCTGCCATAAGGACTATATCGTCGGCAAATCGAAGGTGAGTGATGTACTCGCCATTGATGTTGATACCGTATCCTTTCCAGTCCAGAAGCTTGAAAACGTCTTCCAATGCAGCGGCGAAGAGTTTCGGGGATATGACGTCACCCTGTCTTACACCTCTCTGCAATTGGATAGGTTTCGTACTCTGGTTCTGTACTCGGATAGCCATCGTAGCCCTACTGTACAAGCACTTCAACACTTCGATATACCGACAGTCAACTTGGCACCGCTGAAGGGACTGCAGCACCGCCCAAATTTCGACGGAATCAAAGGCTTTCTCATAGTCCACATACGCCAGACATAGTGGCAAATTGTACTCTTCGGACTTCTGTACAACTTGCCGAAGGGTATGTATGTGGTCTATGGTGCTAAAGCCCTTTCGGAAACCGGCTTGTTCGGGAGGCTGGAAGTCGTCAAGTCTGCGCGCGAGACGATTCGTAATGACTCTCGAAAACAGCACGTAGACGCGGCTCAGAAGGGAAATCGGTCTGTAGTTCTTCAAGAGAGCGTTGTCACCTTTCTTGAAGAACAAGACCACCGCACTTCTGCTCCACGCCTCCGGTGTAATGCCACCATGGAGGACGGAATTAAAGAGCTTCTGAAGGACTTCAAGTACCGGTCTTCCACCCGCTTTCAGAAGCTCCGCTGTAATTCCATCCTCGCCTGGGGCCTTACCGTTTTTAAGGTGCTGGAGAGCCATCCTAATCTCGCTCAGACTGACATCCGGGATATCTTCGGAATAGTGTCGGATGAGACTCGCTCTTGGATCGTTACTCACACTTGCGTGTGGCTCCAACGATGATGTGTACAGCTGCCCATAGAACCTCTCAATCTCACTCAAAATCTCAGGTGTCCCGGAAACGATGCTGCCACATTCTGTCTTCAGCTTTGACAGTTGGCTCTTTCTGGCAGACAGATCTCTGGCAAAGACTTTGGAGCCTTGGTTCCGCTCGATCGCTTCTTCAATACGAGCTGTATTGAAGTTGCGTAAGTCCCGCCGCATGCATTTGGAGATCTGTCTGTTCAGATGCCTGTATGCTGTCAAGTCTGTTGAAGAATGTAGCTTCATCTCCCGTCTAACAGCCATGAGATTAAGAGTGTGATCGGAGAGTTTTTGTGTTCTTCTGCGGCGGGTCTTGCAGAACTTAGCTCCAACCGCATGGACAGTTTCCACGAGCTTGTCATTCATATCGTCCACTTCATTGCAGTCTTCCAGGCACTGAAAACGGTTTTGTAACTCGAGCTGAAAGGTTTCGGGACTTTGGAACAGAGCACGAGGGGGACGGAGCGTTGACTTCATTAGACGAGACCTCTTCAACTTAACGTTTAGGTTCAGTGTGCCTCTAACCATTCGGTGATCGCTACCAGTTTTCACCCTCGCGATCACGGAGACATCACTGAACAGTTGTCGTCTGGTCGTCATAATGAAGTCAATCTCATTTTTTGTGGAACCGTCGGGGCTCGACCAGGTCCACTTCCTGTAGGGCCGCTTCTGGAAGAAAGAGTTCATCATAAAGAGTCCCTCTTTCTCCATGAAGTCGGCCAGCTGCTGGCCCCTTGGGTTCCGTTGCCCTATTCCAAATTTCCCTACTTTCAGCTCACCGTTCTCTCTTGTGCCTAGTTTTGCATTGAAGTCTCCCATTAACACCGTATATTGGGTTTTGGAGGAATGCATGGCTCTAGAGATATCCTCATACATTTCCTCCACCTCCTCATCGGGGTGTGCCGAGGTTGGTGCGTAAACCTGTATGACCTTCAGCGAATACCGTTTGGTGATTCTGAGTATAAGGTACGCAACCCTCGTCGACACACTCCCGATCTTTACAACGTTGTTAACGAGAGACTTGTGGACGATAAATCCGACACCTCCTTGGGACAGATGGTCGCCCTCCCGGTGATAGAGCAAGTTGCCGGATTCGAGGATTACCGTGTCCTCCCCCTCTCTTCGGACTTCGGATAATCCTATAATATGCCAGCGCAACTTGTCTATCTCTTCTTCCAGCTCCACGATCTTCTCGTCAGTCCTCAGGGTGCGTGCGTTGTACGTTGCCAGGTCGAGTCGTCTAAGGTGGCAACCGAACCTCCACCGGAGATTCTTAGCACCCCCTGCCCCGCCGTTACCATGGTCGCCACCGTAGCCAGGAATAGCGGGGCCGCCGGGGACTGGGGGCCGTTTTTTTGTTGCTCTCATCATTGGGGGGTATTTGCCATAGTTGCCACGCTTGGCGAGCGGGTTGGCAACCGCAGTTTTTTTATTGTAATTTGGCTATTATCAGGAAGATGCTGCTGCCCATCTCCTGGCTGTTTCCCTTTTCCCTTATCCTCCCGTGGTTGTTTCGTTTATCCTCCCGTGGGTGTCGTAAAAGGGGTTATTATCATCCATAAATTACTTAATATTATAATAACCCTTTTTATACAAACTTAGTTTAATAAAGTTTTTGAACTTTGAACAGGTCAAACTTTGTATATTTTCTGGAATTTTGTTGTAAAAGCGTATACATCGCCCCAAGAATGAATTACTTACTCGATGGAGTCGAGTAACTGGTACTACTAGCTTGTGTCTGTTCCTAGTATTTACAGAATGTATATCACTTATTTTTGTAAATCTACTTTTATTTTTGTGTACGTACATTACATTTTCATAAATGTATTGAGAGGCCTAAGTTAATATATTAATTTCCTTAAATTTTTGTCGCAGCGACTCTTTAGGCTTTAAATCATAAATTGCTCTTATGGCCCTCTTCTGTAAAACAAATATAATTTCAGTGTCAGCTGCGTGTCCCCATAGCAAAATACCATACGACATTATGCTATGGAAATAGCTGAAGTAAACTAGCCTAGCTGTTTCATATTATTTATTATTCATATTAGTTATAGTATACGACTTTGTGTTTTTGTCTCTGTCCTCCTCCTAGTTTTGGGTTTATAAGGCGACAAAGATTAAGGTGATCATATTACCCTCACGTATCTTGTGTCGATACAAGTACTTGACGTCGACCGACACGAGCAGTGACAGGCGGGGGTACGCACACTCCTACTCGGACAGCGGTTAGATAGCTCAATAAACCGCAAGAGTCCCCTACATGATGATTGGTAACAATACCTAATCATAAACCATCATCATCCTCATCTTCATTGCCTTTCCCTTTTTAAATAGCCCTGTGTCAGACGAAGCTGTAAGAGCCGCATATGCTAACATAGATAAGTACTTGTTGCAAATAAAATAAATAATAAAGAAAGAGGTTACATACATTTAATCATAAGTCAGCCAACAACATAAAGATAACTCATCATCATCATCATCATCACCACCATCATCATCACGGCCCTTCAAAAGTCCACTGCTGAACATAGGCAACCCCCAAAGGTTACTCATAAAATTATAATTCAATTCGACATGTAACAAGTGGGATGCGGGAAGTAAAGACTGTGTAAGAACCTCCGAAGGAGACGGAGTTATAGCCTAAGGAGGAGTGTAATGAGAACTTTTTGCCCCTATTCAACCATGAACCCATGACATTCTCTACATGATAGGCTATTCAAACCGACTAGGCCTAAAGTTCGAGTCACCCCAAACTCATTTCTAGTCTTTATTTCCAATTAATTACTTTTATACGTGGTAGAGCCATGCTGCAGCTATATTAATAGTATATAGTATATAACTGGTACTTACTAGCCTTTGTATTACACACGCTAGTAGTACCAGTTACTCGGCCCCACAGAGTCAGTAATTTATTCTTGGGACGACGTACACGCTTGTACGACAAAATCCCAGAAAATATACAAAGTCTGACTTCCGCCAAGTTTAAATACTTTATTAAACAAAAATTGTACAAAAACGGTTAGTATAATATTAAGGAATTTATGGATGATAAGTGATAACTACCCTTGGGAATGACGTTGTTCGCTACCATGCTATATCTAAATTGTTTTGTCTTATGAATTATTCTGTCACTTTAATAATTGTAAATAGTTCTTTTTTTTATTTAAAAAAAGTCCCTCTGTGTTTCTTGCTGGTTCTTCTCAGGACAGAGGTATTTTTCGAACCAGAGGTAAATTAAACGTAAGAGTGACTTTCAATAAGTATTATTTATAATTTATATTGAACTAGCGAACCGCCCCGGCTTCGCACCGGTGATTTCTGCATCTCGACAACAGCGCCACCTGCCGGGTCCAATTGTGAGTCATTAAGATCATCCAGGGACACACTCAAACGGCTCCGTGGCGCAGTGGTTTAGCAATGAGTTGTTGCGCTGGGGGCCGCGGGTTCGAATCTCGCACGGAACAAGTATTTGTATGGCCTACAAATAATTGTTCCGGGTCTGGATATTTGTCCTTGTGCAATGTATGTTTCTAAATTGCCTCCATGTTGCAGGAGAAAATCCTAGTGTGGGGGTAACGTTTTTTAAATAATAATTACAAAACACAAAACTTTCATCAAAATCGGTCCGGCCATTTTCGGGTTTTTGCGAGACTGACGGACAGCAATTCTTTTTTACATATACTTAGAGATAAAAATGTTTCTATTTCCATCTCTACATGATATGAAATTTTCAGCCGGAATGGAACCTGGTGGATCCGATCTGCACCTTCCTGTTCTCTGTATTGGTTCTGATCACCACTTTCAACATCATCAAAGACACACTGTTGGTGCTTATGGAAGGATCACCGAGAGACGTAGATTTTCAGGTAAAATGCTTATAATCCATTATTTGAATATGCAATGTTTTTATAATATTGTACCAAAATTAATTTCGATTGTATATTAAATTATATATTTGGATATGAGGATAAAAGTGTATTATCTATCTGGTGAGTGGTCACTATGGCCCTTGGAAGTTGGAAGTCAATCCATATTAAAAAAAAATGTTTAGCCACTTTTGTGGACTAAGCAACACTTAGTGTAAGATGGCACACCAAGGAAGCACGCAAACTGTATACGAGCTGTATTGAAGTTCGTTTTTATATTGGAAGCTGTATTTTCTGGCTGTATAAAGGCTGTATAAGAACTTATACAGTTCTTATAAGTAAAAAATGGGCATATATTGTACAGCTTTATGAGGTAGTAGCGCTGTACAGAAGCTGTACAAACATAAAAGAGGCTGTAGAACTGCTGTATAAAGCCGCGTCTCCACCAAAGTTTTGTTGTCAACACAACATTTGCCAACACGTGTTGCCAACAAATGTATCTGTCAACAAGCGTCTCCACCGAGGAACAAATGTTGGCAACAAGGGTATTCCTTTGATGTTGCCGCTGAAAATGGTAACAAGTTTTGTTGGCAAATGTTGTGTTGACAACAAAACTATGGTGGAGACACGGCTTTACAGCTGTTATTTGGTGTGCAAGGAAACTATTACATGCCGATATTGTCTTATACGTCAGTAAAAAAATATATTTATTATTTAACATTTTAATATTATACTGGAATCGGAGATAAGTTTTGAGGGTGATAATTGTTGAATTGAAAGTTCAAAATTAGATTTACGCAAAATTTGTATGTTTTGTATCAAAAAATTGCTGCGCCAGCAAAATATCCAAATAATATAAGGACAAAATATTAAATACGGAGACCAAATATCGGTTTTATAGGTTAGAATGAAAAAAAATATTTGAAATTAATAGATATGAAGGCACATTGCTGCACAGTGATCATAAGTCAAACTAAAAGTAATAGCACAAGCTAAAACTAATGTCTAATATTCCAAAAATTATATTTTAAATTTTGTTTTTATGGGTCCTAAAATGGTAAACAGCATTTCGAGTATCTTATAGTCTTAGTAGCTGTACTTTGTATGTTATGGATTCTATCATGCAGCCATTGGTTTAATAAATCTAATCATCAATTAATAAATGTAATCCGTTGTATAATCGAATAGTTTTTATTACTCACGCTGGAAAACCTTCTCTTGGGAACAGTGTTGGATAAGTTTTATTAGATTTAACATGATTTGCTAACTGAACCAAATCTTTTTTTTTTCCACATATTAATATCAAATTAATTTTGTTCACTAGTTCAAAATGGTGATAATCTATCACTTATACAGATTGGTATTGTACTATGGCTGTTATTCATTTTTATATTTACAAGAGTGTGAAATTACGCCATAAAAATAACCTTTAGAAGGGAGTTTGAATACACTATTGTTCAGAAATAAGATTTGAGTGATACTGTAATAACACAGAGCTGTATAAGCAAGTGACAGCATGCAAAGAACGGCTTCTTTACAGTTTTAATGATATAATCAGATTCAAGTGTTACAAGATACTTCAAGTAGAGTTTTCATATTCTGATTAAGAACCTTAAGCTTACCTAGATCCCATAATACAGACTTTATACAGCTTGAGCTGCATAATAACTCATAAACCACTCTTATAAGGATACAACCTCTTTTCAACACTTAAACGCTTTTAAAAGAACTCTTATGTTCTAATGTGGACTGGTATATTGATGTTCATAACGTTTGTGTTCTGCTTAAGCATGTCCTTGCCAGTAATTATAAAGTTGTTATCGTTCTTTATCGGATTCGAAATATAACAGGCATACGTTCAACTTTATCCCCTCCCACCCTCTCCCCGTTTTAAGGACAGAATAGCTTACATTAATTTTAAAAAATCAATATTAATAATATAATAATAATAATATTCCACAACTATCAAACAACGCCATCTAGTCCCAAGCTAAGCAGAGCTTGTGTTATGGGTACTAGACAACTGATAAACATACTTATATATTTCTAAATACATAAATATTATAGATAAATTACACCCAGACACAGAACAAATGATCGTGCTCATCACACAAACATTTGTCCTGGGTGGGAATCGAACCCACGACCTCCGGCGTAGCAGTCAGGGTCACTAACCACTAGACCAACAGGCAAGTCAAATTCATTCGGTTTACCTCGTTATATCTGAACTTTCTATTAGGTAATGGTGAATCAGGTTGCGATCTAATTCCTGCAAAATTTGCAAAGGTAATTTGGAAAAAACTAAAGTCACACTCACATGTACACAAACACACAAAAAAAACAAATACCCTATTTGTTTTTGTTACGTTTCGTTTTACCTTAGAACGCAACACAAATATTCGGTCCACATGAGGGATAAATTTTGTTTTTCGAGTGTTTTTTATAGAATAAGTGTGGCAAACGAGCACACAGTTCACCTGATGGGGTACATGGATGCTGTGAACTATCGACATCTACATCTACTCTCGATTAAGAGTCATAATGCAGATGCGTTGAGACCCCTGAGAACTAAGATGGAATGCCTCGTTTTCATTAAAATGGGTCTCCGGTTCTCTAAACTCACTGTACGAGACACAGCAGCATTGAGCTGTTACCCCGGTCGAGCCGACCCATTCGTGATACAACTATAATATAACTGCAGCGTGGCTCTACCACGTTGTAAACGGTTACTGTGAACCAAAAATTTTATAGTCATTGTGGACATTTTTGGTAACAGGAGGTGGCCAACACGTTCCTCTCGCTGCCGGGAGTACTTCGCATCCACAACTTGAGAATGTGGGCGCTCTCGCTCGACAAGACTGCACTCTCCGCTCACCTAGCCATACGTATGTAAAGCTTTTTTTAAACTCACAAAACCAACCCGCTGTGATAATGGTAAGTGGTCACTAATCTGTAGGCGCCTGTAATTGAGTAAGATGGATTGGTGGTTCGCTCTCTCTATTTCTTTCTCGTTCTATCTATCTAACACTTAATATATCTCCCTCTTAATGATGAAGAAATTATATAAAATATATATAAAGATCTGTATTAAGGCTGTATGCTAATAACCTTTGCCTTTGCCTGACTTGGTACACATTTGTTAATCCAGGATATGGTACCTAACTATCTCGTTGCCAAATTTAATCCAAATCTGCTTAGCCGTTCACACCTGATAGAGTGACAGTCATCCCTCTGTGTCCACATACTAACTATACAAATATTATTATAGTTCTGAAAATAATGTTTATATAATTTAACAGGTAGCGGCGTCAGCCCGCAAAAGGTTCTGGAACAAGCAACTAAGCTGGTTCACGAAAAGTTCAACTTTTTCGAAATGACCCTGCAGATAGAGGAATTCAACGACGGCATGGAGGAATGCAGCCAGTGCAAAATGCCACAAGCGTGAACCCTATGGAGATAGTAATAGAGGCTAATTTTGCGAGGACCAAATTGAACTGTCTGAAAGTCTAACAGAGGCTATTCAAATATATCGATTATTAAAGCGAATTTATTAGCAACAAGATATATAAGCGATGTTGTGTCGTATTGTATATCTATATTTAATGTATGTATACAAGTATAGTAAGCGAAGCTACCAATGAGTATATTTTAATTATAATAACGCCATAGTTTATCACCTTCCATTTTATTAGATTTAAAATATCTATGATAATTTCCATACCATAAAATTGCAACCTATTAAAAGTCCACTACTGAGTACAGACTTGCCTCATCGATTGCTTCATATTTGCCATAGTTGCCATGCTTGACAAGCGGGTTGGCGACCACAGTTTATATCAGAAATCTTATGTTATCAGAAAGATGGTGCTGCCCATCTAGTTTAGTGTCCCCATCTCGCCTCTTACGACAGCCAGGGGATGATATGGGGTTGTGGATATTCTTACACCGCCACCCTCCGGTTACTATGCTAATAAATTTACGTGGTAGAGCCATGCTGCAGCTATATTAGTAGTATAGTTGTAGCATGAATGCGTCGGCTCGACCGGGGTACGACCATGCTCTTACAGAATACCAGCGTAAAATGAATGGCTTGGCTACCAGCTTGACACTGCTGTGTTTCGTATGGTGAGTGTAGAGAACCGCAGACCTATTTTACTGCAAACGAGGCATTCCGTTTTAGTCCTGACGGGTGACGACGCATCTGCATTTTGATTCTTTATTGAGGATAAATGTAAATGTCTATGGGACACAGCAACCACTTACCATCAGGTGGACTGTGTGCTCGTTTGTCATCGTATCCTATAAAAACAAAAATCATGTTATAAGTAAATTGCAAACCATCGAATTTTCATGTAACTGTCGAAACATTTGTTTCTTGTTCTTGACAGTAGAGGCTTCTAAATACTAAGATATATATATTTACCGTCTATATAAGTGTCAAAAATACAAGTAAAGTTCATATAACATTTGTATAAAACATTTTAATTTTACATTTAATAGCTGTACCAAAATGTAAAAACAATTTCAGCAAGCAATACGGATCGCCAATATCAAAGTAACTAATTGTGTTTCGGATTTTTGCCTAACTGTTGCTCAAATAATCTAACGCTGCTCAATGTTTAGATGCCGTTAAGTCTCGTGCTGTCTCTATCACTTTAAGTCAATGTGACTGTGACACCACGACACTTACGACATTTTTAAATTGAGTAGCGTTTGAGTGTTTGGCCGTAGTCCAATTAAATTTTATTTAAGTGTCAAAGTCCTATTCACTTGTATATATTTACATGTTATATTATAGATATTGTGATATTATCAGCCTGTATACAGGATGTGTTTTTCAACAGGGAATCCTATATACTATATTATATATGGATAACAGGATATTATACATACCTTAGTTTACCTCAAACGTTACTTCTATAGCAAAGCGATTACATTAATTATAAAGTTGTCAGTATTTTAACCGTTTGATAATAAATACTATTTAGCTCTATTGAATTCTTTAAATAATTTATTTATTACATTCATAAATGTTAGAAATTATGGTGCTTATTATGTGCCTCAAACAACTGTTATATAATTTATATTATTAATATAAATTATGAATTATATAAATATGAAGTTACAGCATACTAAGAGAGTAAAAAAGTAGATATTAATAGATTGTTCAACGAATTAGAAATAACTTTATCAAAAAATCCCTATAAAAAATCCAAAGTTATTAGTAATTAGGTATTAAACTCTATCTTCGTCCAACGAAACATAATTTACCTATTCTGATCAGATGTCATGTTTTAAAAAAAACTCACGGTTATAACTCGAACAAACGAATAAACATAGGAGCACTGCGTACGTGCGTACTCAACTTATTGTAAGAGCGCTCACGCACACATGCATCTAAAGTCGTTAGCACACAACAACTTGATAACTTGATGATATTTGCCTGCAGCTACTATCAGCCCGTAAAGTCTTTCTTTCTTTCTTTCGTTATCATCCCGTAAAAGTAAACTTTTACGGGCTGATAACGAAGGAAAGAAGGAAGATGTGTACGTGAGTGCTTGCCTAGAAGTTGTACGCACCGCTCCGTCTATCTTCCTTTGTTGCTCTGCGGACTAGTGTAGGACTAGCGGTTAGTAACTTAATTTACGATTAATAAATAAAATAACAAATTACTAAAAGGAAATGTTCCTAAAATACTATTTACGAAGTGAAACTTCTTTATCGGCGTTGTGGAGAAATTTACTACGGTATTAAAAATCAAAAAACGTCACGTTTTCTTATAACGTTGCGCCGCGGGACTGCATGAGCAACCTACTTATGTAAAATATAAAATAAAAGAACGATATGTCGTAAAGAAGTTTAACTTCGTACGTGTATATTACACGCACATTTTTTTTGATAATATGTACTTACACATTTTTATCTATCATATATACAGTGTAAACGCCTAAATATAACTTTAAGAAATTAAAAACGGTTAAATATAAACAACTATTAAATATTTAAATTATAATTCAGTAAGATAATTTAGAGTATCTGTCCAGTCTTCCGTTAGTTTTAGTTTTAAGGGAATATTTTTTGATTAAAAAAAGTGAGATTGTTCAACAAGAGTTTTATTTGAATCAGAATTTTACCCTTAAATATGGGCGAGGGGAGGCGTTGGTTACATGTGTCATACTTGTGAACAGATGTTGCTTGTTGGGGCTGGACCGCTCGGGTACATGATAGAACATACTTCAGTTACCGATGGATCTGTCTGTCGTTTTCCATTATGTATTACTATGAAAAAAACATGACAAAAAGAGGATATCACAGGAGTTTTTAAGCTGTTTCTTTGCCGGTTAGTAGTAGTAGGTTGAAAAAAAAAATGACGTGACAAACGAAATTTTAGCCTCTAAAAACTTTGACGTGCTTAGGAGAGCGGGACAGTATTTCATACCGGCACACCGCTTGCAACTTTACAAGATGCAAGTTCGGCCTCACATGGAATATTGTTCTCATCTCTGGGCTGGGGAACCCCAGTACGCCCTCCTTTCATTTGATCGCATCATGCGATCGATTTCTTTCTGATTGGCTCGATTCACTAGCGTTGCGAAGAAATGGTACATCCCTTTGCATTTTCTATCGCATTTATAACGGGGAGTACTTGACTTGTTCGGATTAATCCCAGCTGCTAAATTTCACCATCGCACATCGCGACAATACTCGCAATACCATCCATACCATCTGTATATTTGGCGTTCTTAACCACAGTGCGTGTTACCAGAAGTTTTCTTCTTTGCACAACTTCTTTGTGGAATCGACTTCCACCAGCCATTTTTCCGGACTGATACAACTTAGGGACGTACAAGAAGAGCCTCATTTTAAAAGGCAGGCATTGCGCTGAAATTCCCCTGGTGTTTCAGTTGTAAATGTTTCGATGGTAGTCACTTACCCTCGTGTGAGCCGCATGCTTGTTTGCCCCCCATATATAAAAGAATTAGAATTAATATTTAATATCTATTTATATTATAACGATAATATAATAGCTACAAGGCTCAAACAAAAGGAAAAACGTACAAACAAAATAACTTCTTTAATTTATATACAGAATACATCACATTATTAACACCCAAATCAAAAATAATGAACCTATCACTGGTCTAAAACAATACAATCTCTATTGCATGTGCAGTAAAGCTGTTAATTCCATGAGTCGGGTAGGCAGCGAGTTCGCGCCAATTTGGAGAAGTAGTTGGCGGACATACGCGGCGTTCGCTTGCGAGACGCCGAGCTGTAGTCCACGTCGTACAGACCGAAGCGCTCGCTGGTGAACATGAATTCATTAAAAAAAAAAAAACAATTTATTAAATTCGTAAATTTTCATATTCTTACACTGTCATCCGTTTCTGAGCTATGTTTAATATTTCAATTCTCTAACTAATGGGGAAGTTAGACATACACGAGTGTATTACGAAAACGTGCTAAAAAGAATATTCAATTATTCTTAGAATTACCCATACCATTTGCTGCAGCTATATTCGTGCTGCAACACGAATGGGTCGGCTCGACCGGGGAAGGACCACGCTCTCACAGAATACCAGCGTAAAATAGCAGCTCAATGCTGCAGTTTTCGTATGGTGATTTTAGAGAACCGGAGACCCTTTTTACTGGAAAAGAGGCATTACATCTTAGTCCTCACGGGTGACAACGCATCTGCATTTTGATTCTTAATCTATAATAGATGTAGATGTCTATGGGCCACAGCAACCATTTACGATCAGGTGGACTGTGTGCTCGTTTGTCACTCTTATTGTATAAAAAAAATACATAAACTCTGCCTGTCACCCAGAGGCGTAGCTACTATAAATGCAGAGACTACAGACTTCAGGTCCTGACATACTAATACCTTAGAGTTACCTATATCATTGGAACAGGTGATGGGCATCAGCATCTTCCTGATAACAACTCAATAAACTGCAGTTGCCAGCCCGCCTGCCAAGCGTGGCAACTATGGCAAAATGAGGCAATATATGGGTGGGGCCTATTTTCAGCAATGAACTTTTATAGAGGCTGTAATGAATAATGGAATACTTACGAAAATCCCCTCCTCCATTCAAAGTTGTCGATGAGGCTCCAATAAGTGTATCCGCGTACGTCACATCCGTCCGACATGGCTGCGTACATCGCACTCAGGTACGAAGCCATGTACCCCACGCGGCGAACATCTCGGTTCGAACGTTCCAGAGATATCCCGTTCTCAGTCACGAATACGGGCGGGTTGTTGTACTTCTGTTTGATGTAGTTCAGAGCCCGTCTGAAGCCCCACGGCACCACCTATGGGGACACCGTCTAGTTGATCGATATAACTAGGTTTTTTAATAATAATAATGTCCTCTCAACGAAACTTGCTATCTGTGACTGGATTATAGTGTCCGAGTGTATGTGCATGCACAGATGCACTTT